CAAATTATTAAACCATTCAATGATAACACTTTAGTATAGGGACCAATTCTCACTTTTAACATATTGGCTGTTTATTAGTACTTATAAAGCACATATTCTACATGACCATATTCTACATCCCTAAGCCTACCCAATGCCTACACTTAACAACTACCTTACTAACTATTAATAAGCAGCAAATTAGGACTTTGAGGCAAAAGTCGTAGTTAATGGTTTGTTAATAGCAAGAATTGGACCTCAAAATAAAGTGTGATCCCCTTAACCAATTTTTTCAAAAACACAGATTCATTCAGGAACCAGCGAGCCATTGAATGATTTACTCAACTGATTTGTTCAAAAATACTGCTTCATTCATAATTGAATGAGTCATTAAATCATACACTTAACTGATTTGTTACATGATTCTGATTCATTCAGGAACAAGTGAGTCATTGAATCATTTACTCAACTGTTTTTGTCCCCCCCCCCCCCCCAAAAGGTACTGATTCATTCAACAATAAGAAAGTGTGTTGCCTTTGTTTGGAGCTATTTTTCATTGGCAGAGCAAAAACAGACAAAGCATATTGTGTCTAAAATGCAAGAACTCTAACCTCGTAAAAAAAATTGCATATTTATAGTTATGGACTTTTGTTTATAGTATAAACTGGTTTAGGAGCTAATATATCAACATTGAAGAAAATTACGCCAATGTCAACTTTAAAACAAATTTAGAGCTGTTGTTATAAATTAATGGGATTGTTTGTGGCAGATGTTAGCTCCCTGACATCATGGAAATGATGAGGAAATATTTACTATTTACCAATCTTATGTTGATTGAGTGATAGAAAGATGTAGCTTTCAGATAAATATCTTTTATCTGAGCCCTATTGGCCCTAATGGTCGGAAGAGAGATCTCATTAATGAGAGCTAATGCTTTAGAAACAGAAATTTGATTTATAATGAGACACTCCTGCAAATTAGATCTTCAAACAGATGACTTTCATACGTGCAGCAGTGTTTGTGAATGTCTGGTAAGATTTCAGCTTGTGTTTTTGCAAGAGGTTTTTTGGCTGTCTAAAGGCGTGTTATTGATCAAAACGCCTTCCTCTTGCCCTCCTCAGCTGGAGCTAGGTTATTTTGAGACCTAACAGTCATCGCCTGAGGAGCAGGCTAGCAGGGAGTACAGGGATCTTCATTTGTTCTGAGTAGGCTTGGAAGGTTTTGTCTTTGAACAGGGGTCACTTCTGCTAGTGTGAGTCATTCTAACATCATTAATGAGGGTGGTAGAATGAATATGTTAGGATTAGTATGACATTAGATTGATGGATAAATTCTTGTGTTATTTATTTGCACTTGATTTTCATAAGAGAGAGTTAAAACTGCTGTTATATGGTAGACTTAAACAATTGTGGTACACTACTTTTCAAAAGCAATATTTTGAAATATTACAGCTTGTAATAAATGTTTTCTATTTAAATATATTTAAATTTATTCCTGTGATGGCAAAGATGAGTTTTCAGAAGCCATTACTTCAGTCTTCAGTATCACATGATCCTTCAGAAATCA